CATCTCAGAATTTAAACTTAGTCTGTGTGGGCTTCTTATGTTGAGGGCACATTGCAGGCACAAGGTCCATGAAAGGAGACGCAGGGAAGTGCCTACCTGTTGAGAAAAAAGGTCAGTTACAACTCCAAAGAATGTAAGGCAAGGCTTCCAAACTGAATATCAAGAATGCAATGGGGTCTTCAGCTGAAATTTGTGGCTCCAAGTCAGCTATGGCTGCTAAGTTTTTGCAACTGTGCTTCTGCTCCAACCAGCACCCGCTCTCATATATGCCCACCCCCGTAATGTAGTGCTCCACCACCTTCAGCAAAGTTTTCTGACGGGTCACAATAATCTTCAAGCCTCGAAAGAGAGTCCCGGAGGAAAGGAGTTTCAGAAGCATTGGTGTAAACGGAGGGGATATCCCATGACATCAGTGGAGTATGTCAGTAATCTACACTTCAGCAAGAAAGTAATGGGTTGACAAGGTGAAACCTTTAAATCAACCTCAAAATCACACTCTACTTCAATTGTGCCAACGAAAGTCACCACAGTACTGAATTTCTTCGCATGAGGGCTGTTTGAATCTGGAACTGGTGACATGCGCAACATTATTTTATTTTATTCACGGGATGTGAGTACCACAGGTTAGTATTTATTGTCCATTCCCGGTTGCGTCAGAGAGGATGCTGGTGAGCTGCATTCTTGAACTGCTGCAGTCCTCGGGGTGCCGGGACATCCATAGTACTATAAGGAAGGGAATTCCAGGATTTCGATACAACAAAAGTGTAGGAACAGCGGCAATGTAGTCACAAGTCAGGATGTTATGGTTTGAAGAGGAACTTGAAGATGGTGGTGTTCCCAAGCATCTGTTGCCCTAGGGGAGGTTCAGGATTGGTAGGTGCTGTTGAAGGAGGCTTGATGATTTACTGCAATGCATTTTTCCGAATGGTACACATCGTTGCCGCTGTGCATCAATGGTGAAGGGAGTGAATATTGAAGGTGATGAATAAGGTGACAATCAAGCACGATGCTTTGCTCTCGAAGACGTGAAGCTTCTTTAATGTTGTAGGAGGTATATTTAATCAGGGGAAAGTGGGATGTATTCTATCACACTCATGGTTTGGGTCTTGTAGATAGTGGACACGTTTTAGGGAGATAGGAGGTGAGTTACGTGCCACAGAATTCCTAATGCATGACCTGTACTTGTAGTCATTGTATTTATACCTCCGATGCTGTACAAGGACCTGCATTCACTGGGTAATTGAACAATTTATCAAAGTATTTCATATTTAATTAATTTTGAGATGCTCATGTCAGGATGAAGGAGCAGCCCCTTATATTCTACAATGATACTGAGTTTCTTAAAGTAGTTGGGGTATTGATGAAACACATTTTCCATTGAAGATACCAATAAATTAGCCCATTTCATTTGCCACTGGAAAGTTGTTCAATTTGTTGAATATGATCATCCACCCTTGGCACACTCAAGGTTGTACCAGATCATGAGCCCATCACTTAAATCATAGTTTGGCTACTGGATGATAAGGGATACCCATTGAGAATATCACTGTACCTGTAGACCAGCAACAAAACACAGGAATGATACCTCTCCACACTTGCAGCAATATGTCAGAAAGTGGAGAGGACAATAGTTGTGTTTCATGTTTCTTGGAGAGGTTGGGGACCACTTTACAGCACTCACCTGACACAGTATTGAAGATTGTAGTAGAATGTTGTGCATTGCACATTGTTGTCACTCTGGAAGGACTGACACTTCACACCGAAGATAATTTCATGCTAGAAATGGAGGACCTGGAGGAACACAGCATGAAGCTTTAGACAGACATGTTCCTGGTACATGTGAGGAGGGCTAGGTTCCGGCTGTCACCAGAGCAGCTGAAGATTACCTGGTCAGTATTTCTTTGAAAATTGAGGTTTCAATTGTCATTTGTGTATTCCTCCCTTCTGAAATAAAGGCGAGAGAACTGATATTTTAAAATTAAACCAATTACTTTATTTTGCATTGAAAATTTTGAGATAGCTACTTGTGAAGATTTTAAAATTCAGCTCTTCAAGTAAAAGGTTAGTGTCCTCAAATATTTAAGATTTTAAAATTATTTTTCCATGATTACATGAAAAATATTTTCCATAAAACTACAAAGACTGCCCTATCTGCTTCTCAAACATTAAAGGCAGTGAATACCTAAATAAATGAGGAATATTATGAATAATTGGTAACTCAAGTAAGCAACAAATCTGAAGTGGAACAGTGCACATTTAAACAAAGGCAGAATATAGTTCATAATATAAATATCAACAAATAGAAAAAGGCAAATGTAACAGAAACCGGTGTGCAGTCAAATTAGATGTCAATATAAAAATAAAAAAGAAATAAAACACAAACAACTTAAATGTCAGAAAAATTCCTCACGATAAAAAGTGGTGTGGAATGAGGTAGAGGAGATAGTACTTCTTCTGCATCTCACCATCCTCATATTGGGACCACTTGTGTGCTTGAGACATGTCCAGCAGCAGATGTCTCTGCACTGGGCTGCTGTTGGCCAGAACATGCAGGTGCAAGAATTTGAGCCAGAGTCTGACAAAGAACCTAATTGTTTATTTACAAATGCAGACTATGGACCTCATTCTACTGCCAAAAAAAAAAATCTGCTGATACTAGCTTTGAATTCATTATGTTAGCTTAGAATCTCATTGTTTCTTTGTAGGGTTCCTGCTTACATCTATTGTTAATTTAACCAAAGTTTGCTGAAGCAAGTTAGAAGTGACCTGATAACTCTCAAGACTTTATACCTTCTCCTGATACAAGTACTCAAGGAGCACTGCATAATCTTAATTAATGCTAGCATGAGCTCCACGTTGTCCACGTACTTGTGAAGAATGCAGGGCATTTCAAGTATTAATCTAAATACTTCTCAAATGTTATAATGGTTCCAAACTCTACATCACTTTCAGACAGTGATTTCCAGATACTCACTATCATCTGATGAAAATATTTCTCCTTAAATGCCCTCTAAGCCGTTAGCCCTTTACTTTAAATCAATGCCCCTTTCTAATTGACACCCCTACTACGGACCCTATCCATCCCCCATTTAAACTTGGAGACCTCAATTAGGTCTCAGTCAGCATTCTCTGCTCCAAGGAAAGTAACCCCAGCCTATATAGCCTCTCTTCATTGCTGAAAAACTCCAGTCCAGGCAATGTCCTGGTGAATCCCATCTCTAAATTCCTTCACACTTCTCGGATTAAATCTGTTCTGCTCATCTAATCAGTTTGTTTATATGTTCCTGTCACTTAAAGTTTCAGAGACAAGCTCATAAGCAATGAGTATTGCCTCTGACAATTTCATACTCTGCAGATTGTTCTTCTAACAACTGGCATACATAATCATAGCTGTACCAATCAAAACACTCTGTAATATTAAGGATCAAACATCTTTTGGCCACGAGCTGATCAACTACCTTTTCAAATGAGGTAAAATAACCCTCAGCCTTAACCTCAGTAAATTTAGGCACGAAGCACAGATTCTTAGTTAAATCAAATTACTCATATGAATCAGAATCATCCTCATTTCTTTCTTCTTTATTACAAGTGTTGCTTTGGCCAGTTCATACTTTCTACATTCCCTAACTTTTTGAAGTTCAAGTTTTTATTAATTCCATCTCCCTCTGCTTTTCTTTTTCCTCCTTTACCTTTAAGTTTTCTTAACTCTGTGTGCATTTTCATTATCTTTCTTTTTTCTCCACCATATGTTTTCCTTTTACTTCAATTTCTATTATTCTGTTTTTCTCCTAACTCAAATTCTTTTATTTCTATCTTAGCTAATTCCAGCTGTGACATGCCAATTTCACATCTCCTTTCTTCCAATTCCAAAAGTTGAATCACCATTTGAAGTATCTCATCCTTATGAGATCTTGCTTTTACTTCTACCTTCAATTTAGCTGCTAGCTGTCTCAACTCAGCTTTAGTCAAAGGTGTGAAATAATCCAAATATTATTTCCTCCACTTCTAGAAAACCTTTAGCTTTCTTCAAATTTGATGCAATAAATTTTACTACAGTGCAACAACTTTAAGATCGAGAACCACCACATATTCATTATGTCAAACAGGAGGACATGGACCCTTCTAAAATTCAATTCTAACAGTCACACTGACATGATCACCTCCCTGACAGTCACACTGAACCCACCCCTCACTGACAGTCCATGTCCCTCTCACTGAACAGTGACTTTGACATCAGCCCCAGCCTAAGCTATATTGACCTCGCCCCCTCCCTGATGTCACACTGACTTCATCACTTCTGACAGTTACCTTGATCCCACACTTTTTGACATTCACACTAACTTTGCCCCTTCTTGGACAGTCATACTGACCCACCACCTCCCTAACAGCCACACAGACCATGCCTGCCCTGACAGTCATACACAACCCGCCCTTTTACTGACAGTCACACTGACCCTCCCCCTGACAGTCATATTCACCCTGCCAACTCCCTGTCAGTCACAGTGACACCACCCCCTCCCTAACAGTGACACTGACACCATAGCCCCTCTCTGACGCACACTCTGACCCCGACCCCGACCCCGACCCCGACCCTCTCCCTGACAGTCGCACTGACACTATGGCCCCTCCCTGACAGTCACAGTGACCCTGCTCCCCCCAACTCTGACAGTCACACTGACTCCAACCCATTCCTGACACACACTCTGACCCCGCCCCCTCCCTGACCGTCACGTTTACCCCGCCCCCTCCCTGACTGTCACACTGACCCCACCCCCTCCCTGACAGAGACACGCACAATGACCCTCCCTGACAGACACTCTGACACTGCCCCCGCCCCTCCCTGACAGGGACACACTGACCCCGTCCCCTCGCTGCCGCTCTCTCTCGCACACACACACATACAGACCATGTCCCCTCCCTGACTCACACACACGCTGACCCCCCCCCCTGCCCCACAGACGAACACTGACCCCGCCCCCTCCCAAACGGACACACTGGCCCCTCCCCCTCTCTGATGCACACTGACCCCGCGCCTCTGCCGCGATATTTGCGATGTGGGCGGGTTTTGGTCGTTATGAGTCGGGTGTAAATCTCGGCAAAGCGGGTGAGTACTGGGATAATGTCTGTCCTGTTTGTTTGGGGGTTATAGATCTGTAGCTTCACAAACAGAACCTGAGGCCTAGCATCTTCCGCCCGCACCTAACACCCTCCTTGCCGTGCCATCACAGTCCAGACTCTATTTGCTGCCTCCCCCCACTGCATCCTCGCTTTCCACCGTCTCCCTCCACACTATTCCTAGTATTGGACAAATAATCCCAAATTACCTGACTAATGATTTATAAAAATGTAGTAATGTTTTGCTTTTGTACTGCAAAGTCAAAAGCCACATGACACCAGGTTATAGTCCAACAGGTTTATTTGGAATCACTCAAGCTTTCGGAGCACAGCTCCTTCGTCAGATGCAGTGAGAGCAATGCACATAGACACAGAGTTTATAGGTAGAGAGATCAAGGGCAAGGAGATCAAAAGATCATACAACTGGTGTGAGTGGAGTATCAGATGATAAGACTCTGCAGGTGAACAAGAGTGTAAAGACAGTGTGTAAAGTGTTTATAAAGTCAATGCTAGTGCTGTGCTGTCATGACAATCAGGCTGAGCCAGAGGAATATACAAAAGGGAACATCTCAGTTCAAACGCTGAATTGTTCAGTTGAGGATTTGTTCAGAATCAGTCTCAGAGTTTTAACCTGGAAACAGGCCAGTTTTATACCAAAAGCTGGAATTTATAACATGCCACAATCATTGGCTGTGACTACAAATTATGTGTTTTTTGAACAAAATAGAATGTATCTGCAAATAAACAAGCGCCTTGGGCGAAATTATTCACCCATAGATTCATGTGTGTAAGAGAGAGAGAGAGGAGTCAGAGATAGAGGGAGTGAATGTGTATGCGCACATGAGAGATAGAGGGAGTGAATGTGTGTGTGCGTGCGCGAGAGAGATAGAGGGAGTGAATGTGTGCGTGCGTGCG